TAACTTGCGGGAGCCCTTTGGTTTTCTTGAACAGCACCTGCTGGATGTGTGTATGCTCAAACTGACAGTGCGTTCCCCATGCTTCACAGAAAAAGGGAAGGTCCATGCTTGAGTTGAGTGACTAAATGTAATAATACGTGATTGGACGAGTGTATATTGTGATGGAAATGAATAAACTGTGTCGACTCGCCTGAATGATGAGTTGGACTCTCAATCCCGTAACTGCGGGTGAGATGGTGGGTTGCACGCAACTGAGAACCATGCATGAGCCATGGGGCTCATTGGTTCCTGGGAATGAAAGTCCAATCTGTTGGCTTTGATTTGCCCACAGCGAATGAAATTTTAGGCAGGGTGTTAAGGTATTTGGCACCCATGAGACTTACCTGAGATGAACCCATCTCAGTATACAAATGTCACTTTCGAGCCCAATACCGCAGCGCCTTTCAAGCTCAAGAGAAAAGAGCCTCTTTAGACTATTGATTTTTAACTGAAACGGAACAAAACCAGTGCTACCAACAAAGCGGACGGAACATTCCACTTCTCAGTTGCGAGTGGAAGCACATATATACATATATTGCATACAATCATCAGAGCGGCCAGGGACACATTTTGTTGCAACCCGGAGTTTGTGCCATTTTTGGCCAAAGAGAAGGAAATCATTTCTCCTTCACATGTGAGTGCAAGTGGGTTGGTCTCATGGTAATGGCACGCAGGCATTTCGTTCTGTTCTGTGAGAGTTGTCCTGATGAATTAACAAATAAAGCCGTGTGATTCTGTTTGTTGAAAAGGTTCGTTTTGATGATTTCGCCTTTAAGACCAAGGAGGGTGCCCCGGAACCCGCTCCTGGCGCACTTGATGCGGAGGTGCTTGAGGGCCATCCATGAAAAACAGGGTGGCACGTCCACTCGTGGACCCTGCGTTTTTTCACCAGGCAAAGTGGTTCGGGAAGTTGAAATCTGCAAAAACGTTGGGTTTTTGCGGGTTTCCATTTTAGCGGCCTATTTTGGAAAGGGGCTAAAACATTGAGACGGGGGAAGCTTTTTAGCGGTTTGAAGGGTTTCGCTACAGCGACAAGCACAGTTTGAAAGTAGAAAAAACGAAGCTTGCGAGAGGAGTAGAAAAGGTAGAAGTACCACTTGCCAAGGATTACTTGGGGTTTGAAGCATAAAGAGAGGGCATGGATGCTCTGGTGAGCGTATGCTCTTGGAACACGAACGTTATTATGGCTTGGGCATGGATGCTCGGGTGAGCGTATGCGCCTGGAGCACGAACGTTATTATGGTTTGGGCATGATGATCTGGTGATCGTATGCTCCTGGAACACGAACGTTATTATGGTTGGGGCATGGATGCTCTGGTGAGC